GCAGGAGGCCCGCATCAATTGGCCCGACGAGCTTGGCGAGAGGCCGCCCAGGCCCACAGTCGAGGAGGTCAGGAAGGTTATCGCCAGCCTCAAGGAGGCCACGGGAGCGTCCTTCGACTCGCTCAGGCCCAGGGAGCTGCAGCTGATGGACGACGAAGGCATCGAGGCCATGATCGACTTGTTTGACGTGATAGAGCAGAGGTGCGAGTGGCCCGACTTCGTCACCAAGATGGCCTTCATCCCCAAGACGGACGGAGGACTTCGCCCAATCGCGCTGCTGGGGGCCATCGTGCGCATCCACGGAAGGTTGCGACGGCCAGTCGCGAAGCAGTGGGAACGGGATCACGACAGGCCGTACTGGTGGGCCAGCGCGGGCAAGAGCTGCGACCGCGCCGTGTGACAGCAGCAGGCCAGGGCCGAGTGGGTCCACATGATGGGCGCGCTCTACGAACAGCATGACTGGGCCTCGGCGTCGATCCTCCTCGACCTCTGGAAGGCTTTCGAGCAGATGCTGCACAGCCAGCTCCTGAAGGCCTGCCAGGCCCACAACTTCCCGCTCTGGCTGGCCAAGCTGCAGATTAACCTGTACAGGATGCCCCGCGTGGTCTGCCTGGAAGGCTGTTGCTCGGCTGAGCTGGTGGTGATGCAAACGGTGCTGGCAGGGGGCGCGTTCGCCACGACTTTCATGAAGGTGATGCTCCTCACGCCGTTGGGTGCGATGGTGATCAAGCACCACGCGGTGGTTCCCGCAGTGGTCGTGGACGACCTGGTGATGCAGCACTGGGGCGGCACCAGCAGAGTTGAGAAGGACCAGACCGCCAGTGCCGAGCTCCTGGTCAAGGAGCTCAGCAAGGTGATGCTCACGGTCGCTACGAAGAAGTCCAGGATCCTCGCTAGCAGCGCCAAGCTGAGGAAGGGACCCCAGGCCAAGCTCATCAAGGCTTGCGGTGCTGTTGCAGTGGCGAGCGTGCGCAACCGTAGAGTCGACCACGCTGAAGGAGGGCGGCGCGCCAGCGCGGTGCGTAAGCTGCGCGTGGTCAACGCCAAGGCGAGGCTCCCTCGCATCAAACGACTGCTGGGGCTTCGGCGAGGCCGAGCAGCCGCGGCGAAGGTCGCCTTCACAGGCCTCATGCCCAGCATAATGTACGGCGTCTCGTGCACTGGGATGTCGGACAGCGAGCTCAAGCACTCCAGGGTGCTGGTCGTCAAGGCAATCGAGCCAAGGCCGCAGGGCAAGTCCACAACTGGCTGCCTCGTCTCCGGCGGGCCGAGCGAGATCGACCCGATGTACGGCGCAATTTTGGCGCTTGTCTGCACCCTTGCACGGGCGTTCTGGGAAGGCTGGGTTCCCGCAGGAGTGCTCAAGTCGACCTTCGATTGCTTCGCGAGGCACGTTCGCAGCTGGAGTGAGGTCCGAGGGCCTATCTCTGCGGCTGTCTTGACGCTCTTCCTGCGAGACCATCGACATCACAAGCTCTTCCCCCTGGTACATCAAGCAGGTGCTGCGCAAGGACGTGCAGGCCTGGCAGCTACGGCAGCTAGCGGCGGACACGCACGAGGGCATCGCCAACGGCGCCTTCGTCCCACAGGTGCGCAGGTGGCTCAGCACAGGCAAAGCCTCCACCTTCGAGGGCCGCAGATGGAAGCCCCTGGACGACGAGCAGAGGGGCTACGCGAGGTCTCTGCTGGTGCACGGCCAGCGGCTCAACCAGCGAAGGTTTGAGGCAGCGCCGAGGCTCGCTCCTACACCACACTGTGAGCTACACCCGCGCTCCCTGGGCACCCTGTGGCACCGCCACCTGGAGTGCTGCGACAGCTGGCCCAGTTTCGAGCTGCCTGAGGAGCTGGAGAAGTTCAAGCAGTTCGAGTCCAGCATCACGATCAAGACGCTGTTCGAGCGGCTCCTGCTGCCCGAGCCCAGCCACGACTGGCGCCCCCCGCAGGACGACCCGCTTCAGGGGCTGCGTTGGCTCAAAGGGGACGCCGACCCGTTCATCAACACCGAGCTGTTCGCCGACGGTTGCTGCTTCGAGGCTGGCACTTCGCTGGCTATGGCAGGATGTGCAGTAGTCGAGTTGCCGCCTGGGCCAGAAGGAGAAGACCCAGGCAAGGGATCGTGTGTCAAGGCCATGGGCACCCCTGCGCCTGGGCCAATCCAGTCAATCGACGGCGCTGAGTTGCTCGCGCTCCACGCGGTCCTCAGGCACTCGCTTCCTCCCATCACGGCCAACTTCGACGCCGAGTATGTGGTCAAAGGCTTGATGGATAGAGGGCGCGAGGCCACTACCTCGCATGAGTCCGCCTGGGGAGAGATCTGGCGCAGGATTTGGCGCGCGCTGGACGACTTCGGCGATCTCAGCAGCGACGGCTTCACGGTGCGGAAGGCCAAGGGCCACGCGACGTTCAAGGAGGTGGACGAGGGCAAGATCACTCTCCGCAGACGGCGAGGCAACCACGAAGCTGACCGAGCGGCGAAGTTCGTCACGAAACACTTCAGGGCGCCGCTGCAGGCGCGCGAGGCCAGGAGGACAAGGTCGCTCACCTTGGACGGTGCGGTCTTCTGGGTATCGCAGGCAGGCGCAGAAGCTGCTGACCTCAGGGTCGACTTTCGCGACAAGCACAGGGAGCCCGAGTCCAAGGGCCCCAGGCTCTGCATCGCCAAGCACGAGCTGGTCAAGATCAAGGGCGGAGTAGAGGGCGTCCAGGCGCTCCACTGTCTGCGCTGCCTGCGGTCGGCCTTCACTGACATCTCGACCAAGAACCTCCCAAGGCAGAGCTGCGCGCCGAAGGCCATCGCTCCCGACGCCTACACCAGTGGGGGCAAGAAGCGGCCGAGAGCCTCGGCCCTGGTGCACGCTGGAGCCGCCGCGGTGGCGGTCGCAGCAGCCCGCCGTTTCGTGGAGGACGAGAGCCAGCCCACCCATGCCAGTGGTGAGGCATGCAGCAGCGAGGCGAGCTCCTCCATCGTTCAGCATCGTGGCGAAAGCCAGATTCTGGGATCCGTCGGTGACGGTGACCTGCGTGCTGGCGAGGGCGGCCAGCATCGTGGCGAAAGCCAGATTCTGGGATCCGTCGGTGACGGTGACTTGCGTGCTGACGAGGAGCAGCCGTCGGCGGGCTCCTCTTCCACTCAGCATCGTGGCGCGAGCCAGAGTCTGGGATCCGTCGGTGACGGTGACCTGCGTGCTGACGAGGAGCCGCCGACGGCAGGCGACGGGGGTGCCAAGGCCCAGCCCGCTGCGCCGCCGCTCAGCGGCTCGGGCGCGCTCGACGTGGACGGAGGCGGCCACGAACTGCGCGCGTACTTCGGGTACCGCGTCTGCCTGAAGTGCTTCCAGTACGCGAAGGAGGTGAAGGGCAAGCACAGGGGGCTCGGCCTGGCCTGTGCCCCTGCGCTCAAGCCCAGCGCCCAGGCGGAGCGCAGGAGGAAGGCCGAGAAGATCATGAGGGGAGTGGCTCCGTCTGGGAGGCCACTTGCGCGACGGCGTCGCGGCGGGCTCCACTTCCACTGAGCTGCCGCCCGCGACGCAGCTGCGTCGCCGCCGCTCTGCCCTGTCGAGTTGCCGCCGTTTGCGGCGACTCCTGAGGCGGCCAACAGGGCTGCCGTGCGGCCTGCGACGCAGGAGCTGGACGTGCGCGCTGCGCGCACTCAGGCTGCTGAGGGAAAAAGTTCTCGGCCGCCGAGGGCGCAACTTATGGCGAAGCCGACAGGAGACGGTTTTAGTCTCGGCCGCCGAGGGCGCAACCTGCTTGTGGCACACCGGTAGGAGACGGTAGTATCCTCGGCGGCCGAGGGCGCGTTCTATGGCGCAACCGATAGTAGACGTTTTTTTTTTCTCGGCCCCAGAGAGCGCAACCTCTGGCGCAACCGACAGGAGACGGTTTTTATTCTCGGCCCCAGAGGGCTAAACCTATGGTGCAACCTGTAGGAGACGGTTTTATCATTTGCAGCCGGGGGCGCAATTTATGGCGCAGCCAGCAGGAGACGGTTTTATTCTCGGCGGCCGAGGGCGCAAGCGATGGCGCAACCGGTAGGGGACGGTGTGATTCTCGGCGGCCGAGGGCACAACCGATGGCGCAATTTATATTCGACGGATTTATTCTTGCCCGCCGAGGGCCCAACCTATTGCGCAACCAATAGGAGACGGTTTAGAGCGCAATTTATGGCGCCCCCGATTGGATACTGTTTTACTCTCGGCCGCAGAGGGCGCGCTCGATGAAGGAGACGGTTTTATTATCGGCCCCAGGGGGCTCAATTTATGGCGCAACCGGTAGGAAGCGGTTTTCTCATTTGCGGCCGAGGGCGCGATTTCTGGCGCAACCAATCGGAGACGGTTTTATTCTCGGCGGCTGAGGGCGCAACCTATGGCGCAACCGGAATGAGTCGGTTTTATTCTCGGCGGCCGAGGGCGTAACCTATGTGTTCCCCTGGTGCGACCAGGACGCCGTCAACCCACTCACCGTGCTGGGGGCCCGCGAGTAGTACGAGGACGAAACGTGGGCACCCAAATGCGTGCGGGGCTACGCCCGAGGTATGCTCGCTGTTTGGGGTCTACCGCTCTCTCTCTCTCTGTCTTCCTCGTTTTCCTCCTCGAACCTCCAGCTCCCGAGACCCCTCTCCATCCAGGAGGGGGAGGGGCAAGAGAAGGTTGCTCGGCGGCGGGATGAAGGAGGGATAGCCAAAGGGGGTAGAGGAGGAGGAAGCCCTGACGAGGACCCCAGACCGCCTCCTGGAGGTCCCTAGCACCAGCTGTTCACAACAAACAGATTTTTGATGGCCTCCGGCCCAGTAATCCCTGATCGCTGGATGCTGGAAACTCCCAGTCGCAACGGGCGTCGTCACCGATTGTGCTACAAATTCTAGTATCTGTTGCGACCGATTTTGAGTGCCGATCGGTCGCTACCGATCGCGGCCGAAAAAAAAACAAGTATCCAATGATCTGGGATCAGGGTGCCCCAGAAGCCGACAGCGGCCCGGTCGCGAGCGCCCCCGCAGCCAG